TTTAGCATGTGTTGACCATTATGAATATGTGTAGGATAGTCCACCTTCTTCTGAGCGTGCCTTATCTCCATTCCCCTTTGTGAATTTGGATCTTTGAATCCTCTCCTTTTCTGTTATGTTGTCTCAATTTGTCCCTATGTAGGCTGAACATTCATTACTATCTCGTTATAACAATTCTCTTTTTATTATTTAAGCTTATAATGCCCTGTTCTTAGTAAGGGTTGCACTCGTCTGCTTCTATTTGCCCAATAGTCACTTTACTCCTAATTCTGTGCCTTTTTTTTTTTGTCATTTCGTTTTACGTGAACTGACCCCTTTCAGTATTTCCTATAGTGCAGGCCTAGTAGTGGAGAATTCCCTCAATTTTTGTATGTCTGGAAAAGTCTTAATTTCTCCTTCGGATCTAAAGGGCAATTTTGCTAGATACATTATTCTAGGCTCGTATTTCCTTTCACTTAATAGTTTAAATATTTGATTCCATTCCTTTCTGGCTTGTAAGGTTTGTGCTGAGAAGTCCGAGGATAATCTAATGGGTTTACCTTTATAAGTTACCAGTTTTTTTCTCCCTGGGTGCCTTGAGAATTCTGTCTTTGATAAAAAGACAGAATTGATAAAAATCAATTTTTCATTGATATTTGATAATTTTAATACAATGTGTCTTGGTGAAGGCCTTTTTGGGTTGAGATAATTGGTAAGTTCTGTTGACTTATTGAATTCCAAACTCCAGCTCATTCCTTAGATTTAGAATCTAAAGAAGTTGTCTGAAAATGCTTTCTAATCCTTGTTCCTTTTCCTTGCCTTCGATAATGCCCATTATTCTTATGTTTCTTCTCCTGATGGTATCAGCTAGTTCTTAAGTTTTCTTTCATTATTTTTCATTCTTTGATTTCTCTCTTCTTCCTTTCGATTTATTTCTAGATTTCTGTCTTCGATATCACTTATCCTTTCCTCCATTTGATTGACTCTATTTCCTAAGCTTGCTATTTCATTTTTCAACTCTTGAAGTGTGGTTTTTTATCTCCAGAAGTTGTATTTGGTTTTTCTTTTTAGGGCTTTCAACCTCCTTTTATGCTCATCTAGTTGTTTTTTCAATTCCTGAAATTGTTGATTTGAGTTTTTTCAGAAGCACCATCCTGAATTCTCTGTCATTTAAGTCTCATATTTTTCTATGTTTGTAAGCTTATTTTCCAGAGATTTTTCTCGTTCTTTCTGAGATTTCTTGTTACCTTGGTTGTTCATGGTGTTTAATGGACTATTTCTCCTCCTGGGCATTAATGGAAGTGTGTTCTGCCTTTTTTTCCAGAAAGAAGTTTTATTATTTAACCTATTGCAAAGAAGGTGCTTTTGGTTTCCAGTAGCTTGTGTCTAAGCCTCTTGGATCCCTGCTTTATATGAAGTCTTAATAACACTTTTTAAATTTTCTTGTAGATATTTAAATCATGCTTGCTACCCTCAGTTTCAGTCTCTGTCAGTGGCAGCGACAGTCTTGGCAGCATATGCTCAGATTCCCCTGGGGGCTCCGCAGTGATCAGTCTCGGAGGGTATTGGAGGGAGGGTCCCTCTGGGTTGAAGGTTGGGGACTGCGGCTCAGCTTCAGTTTTACAACCCCGGCTGGCAAAAATCAGCTATTGTTCCTCTGCGGTCTCATCCTGCTTCTCTGATTTCTGCCCTGATGACTGGACCCTGCAGCCAGCCGAACACAGGGAGCTCACAGCACTCCCAGGCAGGGCTGTTCAGAGAACACGCTACTCCTTCTCCCCTCCCCCTTGTCCTATAAGGAACTCCGGCAGCTGTGAGAGGCAGCTTCTTTATTTCTCCCACTCCACCATCTGACACCCGGGGTTCTGATCTGTGATAGTTCTTATGCACAGATCCCATGCTCAGATGTGCTGGTGTACAGTTTGGATGTTTTTTGTTGAGTTTTAGATGTTCAGCTTATTATCGTTTCAAGGGGAGAGATCCAGGGACATCTATTACTCTGCCGTTTTTCCAAAGATCCTAGATTTTTATTTCTATAGGAACATATTCCTTAGGGCTATGTTGCAAACTCACAGAGAAATAAACTCTATAATCATATTTAGCTCTCTAAATAAGTAAAATCTATTGCCTTTGGGTAAGACTTATTATTAATTTAGTGTTCTATTTGGAATGTATCTATGATCAAAGAAATCCAGTCACTGCAGATTATTAATACTATGGTGTAACACTTGATAGAACATCCCACTTAATGACACAATAAAAGAAAAAAAGCTAAGGAATGACCCCAAATATGCCCAACTCTTAGGAAATATGGATCACTAAAGAAAATAAAGTATGAGCATTTATTTTTTACTTGCATAGACAAGTTAGGGCTTCATGAGATTCTTTCAAGCGATTGTCTCGAGCTCAAAATGCCACTATTTCCTGGAAGGAAAATAAAAATCCCCAACACCCTGTCCCAGGATTGTCATCTAGATTGGGTTTCAGAATAATGTTATTGAACATGATTCTTAGGTCATCATTTCTCTTGCAGACAACATAAGTTCTCATCATTGACCCCACAAGACACTCCCTGCACATCCATATAGTCGAACCTGAATATGCTCACCAGAGATGAATTCTGGATGTTACAATGCCAAGGTAGACATGAATTTCCATGTATCTCCTGCTGTACACCTGGCTAACGTCAGGCTGATACAGACATGTTTAGGTGGTGAGTGAACATATACTTTATTTACTATTTTCTTTAACCACTCCCAGTACATCTCCACTAGTTTGCATCTGTCAGCATACACAAAAATGAGATTATTCATACAAGAAATATGCTGAAAGGAGGAAAAAGTGGATTGCTTTCAGATCACGCTGCAGGCAAGACAACTATGGAAGAGAGAAGGAAAGAAGAGGATTGGGTAAAAAGCATCTTGGACAATTCCCAGAAATTTTTGGTCAGGCTGATAGAGCCCAGAAGCCCCAAAGCTGCCCCATGGAAGAGATCCTAATGAAGCCAGGGATGGGTTTCAGATGAATGCCAGCAGGGCCAACACACAAATACTCAGTTTCCTGCAGGAGATGTGAGTGGTACATTTTCACGGCTGTCAATTATTGAAATAAAGATTGATGACAAAGCATAATTTTGTAGTGGAACAAAACTAGATTTCAATCCTTGCTCTTTAACTTTGGACAAGTTCTTGAAATTTCCTAAGCCTCAAATTTTTTTCAGCTGTAAAATGGAGATAATAGTACCTATTTCATAGTGTCACAGCGAGTTTAAAATGTGATGGTTATGTAAAGCCCTTAGCATGGCTCCTGGTATGTAAATGTTAGTTCTTCTAAGTGTAAAGACATAAGAGACCTTGCATTGTCTGACCGAATGGCTATTTCCTACTTCTACTATAGAATATACAAAATTCAGTCAGTCGTTAAAAAAAAATAGGAAACTCTTATCTCATAATATGTATGACTCTGTATAAACTCACTTAAAATTGGTTAAAATTAAATGTAAAGTATTACTGTTAGGAATTATAAAAGGAATGTGAACAATATTGGTTAAATATCGGCTTAGTATCTATAATTTAATAGTAATATTTTTAATTATTTGATTATAGTAACATTTATGACAAATAAGACATGAGCTAAACTATATTTTTGGAGTTTATTAATAACTACTTCTTCCAAAAATTATAACCCACTCTCCTAACTCTCAAAATAATGTTCAACTAACACAATGACTTTGTCTTAGACAAGTAATTCAGTCTGGTTTAGTGGTTAATTTCAAATATTGCTGAGTTTCATACTTCTTACTGTGAATTTAATATTAATGTAGATTTACTTGTTTTAATGTTTGGCCTCATTTCTAGGATTATTTTGAATGAGAATTTCAATATTTACTTAAAAATGTTTCATCTATGTTAGGTTAACTGTCTTAAGACTATTCAGATTTGAAAATTTTATATTAATAATTATACTATAGAAATCAATTCCTGCATACTGAGAAAAAAGTAAAAACCAAGAAGGTAAGCCTGATGCGTAAAATATTTCTTTAACAATAATAGTAAAATGGAAAATACGATGAGAATTTATTTAAAACTATGACTATGTACACTGGTGTCTAATAATTAGAGATTATTTCACCAAAGTCTGAGGCTAATGATAGGCTTTCATTTAAATTATGTTGTATGAAAAAAAATGTGAATAGATTTTACATGGGCTAGATTTTTCTAAGCAAAAAGTAATCAAAACTGATTTAAAAATCAGTTGTTTTTATTGATTTAAAAAGAGAAAAAATAGCTTTGGTGTGAAAACATTTATTTATACTATATATTATTTCTCTCTTTCAGGCTCACTTGGAAAAGCTAGTTACGAGTAGAGGAATAAATTATGGTTAAAATTTTTCCTCTCCCTATTCCACATTTCCTCTTCCTGTGTGCTCTGTGACTAGCTGTGTCACACTGGACAGCAGATTGAGGTGGGTGAAGAGAAGTTGGACTGGATGCCACATCTTAGTACTATCTCTCTAGTCCTTGCCACCCCCTGAATGCTTTTGGACCTCCTGCTTCTCCCTTCCACCAGGTCTCTTTTATGTCACCGATGCATGAAACCATGTGTTCACCTACATATGTGCAAGGGAGAGGGATAGTTAGAATGATTATCTGAATAAACTAGCCTAAAAATACTACAATTAAAACATCCACTTTTATTGGAAAATGGGAAAATAATAGGTTGAAAAGGGAAACATACAAATGTATTACATAAATTTTTTTTCAGGATTTAAAATTTCATTGGTATGATCATGACAGACTAAATCCAAGATTTAGAGATTGATTCTCCATGTCATAAGAATTGTAATCAGGTTTTTCAGAATATTTGTGGGGCCTGATGAATTAGATTCAACTAATCCTATAATCATTATTAAATATCTCGCATCTCCTGTCTGTCTTAAAATCCACCTATTTTATGACCTCTGTTATTCTTCTTCTGTCTGGAATAATAGAAACCTATAATACATTTCTCAGCAAATCTAACCTTCTGCTCTTTCAGTGCCTCCTCACTGGTGCAAACTGCTGTACTAGAAATGCTCACAAGATGCTAAGATATTGATCTCCTCAATTTCAAGGGAGCATGGGGCCAAAGTCTTTAGGCTGGTGCTCTCGCTGTGTGAGCAGCTTTGAACATTTACTCCAATATGTTGCACAAGCTCTGTGTGGGAAAAATGTTGGAAGACTTGGTCTTAGACCTGTCTTAGACCTCTTTCCTTACTTCCTCCTCCAGAACTTGACCCCACTGGTGTCTCACTCTCTGTGTTGAATTTTCCTTGTCTAAATTGTATCCTCTCCCTTCAGTCACAGCACAACCAGAATTTCCAGTCTAGAGTCTAAATGCTAAAATAGACATAAAGGTGCTACCTCTTTTTAGACTAATAAATTGTTAATGACAACAAAGGAAAAGAGAATCTCCATATTCAATTAAAATAGGAACTATCTGTAAACTCAAGCCACAATACTTGAGGAAGGATGACCATAAGTAGAAAGGGTGCCCAGCAGACATTGAGAGGGGAAATGCCTGAGGCTGGAGATTTCCGACAAAATTCCTTGGGTTCTCCACTTAGTTTTTCAAAGCAGGTGTCATATTCTAAAAGAAAAAAAAAACTGAAAAAAAAACCATATTTATTGTTCAAAGCAAGGGGAACTTGGTGCGCAAACTGGCTATAGGGTCTTTCTGGAACTCATTTTGGCAAGGAGGAAGAAGAAATGAGGTCAATACACCATATTTGTAGGAAGAAGTCAGTTGTTGAGTCAGAGAGGAGAAAGGCTCCACAAGAGAAGCAGCCATGCTATTCCTGGTCTTTAGGGCCTGGAGACCTCATCTGCTCACATAAAGCTGTGTCATAAGGACCATTGAAGAAGCAACCACAGGATGAGTCCATCCACACTCCTACTATATTCTCTCTGAGATAAACACAAGCACTTGTATAAGCTCCCATTTTGACCAGTGTACTACAGGGGCATTTCTAGTCTCTGGGTAGTAGCAACAACTTAAATCCAGTATAATAATTCCTAGAAAATCTAGCTATTTCCTTTTTCCTAGGGCAGTCATCCTAATAAATGGCCAAAGTCCCTCGAGAGAAGGCTTGGGAGAAGAGAGTCCTATCTCAGTTAGGCCTCCTATCAAAAGGCTTCCTATCCAAGAACTGGTTTGGATCTGAGAACTAAAGTTGTTATAAATCTCCATGATGAATCCATTGTGATCTGCAAGGGAGCAGCCATGCTGTGTCGGGTAGTAAAGACCCTGGGTTCCCTCTCCTTCCTCCCTCCAATCTCTTCTAGGTACTATTTGTGGAAGCCAATAGGAAGCCAGAGGGCAGGAGAGCTCACTGATGTAGCCCATGCAAGTCAACCTCCCAGAAGAGACAGCAAGGTGGAGAAGGTTGGAGAACGGATACAGAGAAGCAAATGAAAGATTGCTAGCACAGGCTAGCATACACAAACACCTACATGCACTGATGTGTCTTTTTTAAAAATACAAAATAATTTTATCATGCAGCTTTTACTTAACGTGCATGTCAGAGACCATTCTATATTAGTACACAGAAAGTTATTTCATACTTTTACTATCTGCATAATATTATCCATGTTATGAATATAACTTATTTTGCTGGTCCCCTATATAAATAAAAATATAATCTAAGCATTGAAATAATATTTCCATGAATATCTGTATAAATACATTTTACATGCGTGAAAGTACATGTGTTAAATTAATAGCTAGGATATTTTGATATAAAATTTTGATAAAATTCACAAAAAAACACTTCACACTTAATTCTCTTACTGTTTAGAACATAACTTCTCAATGTTTACTTCACAGCACGTTGTGTGGTGGTTTATAGATGTGTCATAGGTAACAGGGTAGAAGGTGGGGGCTCATCTGTGTGCAACATTTAGCATGTATTATTTTCCATGTGGCCCATGATGTGAAAAAGCACTGTGTTAGATATCTATTATCTACTATGAGCAAAGACAAAATCATTATATTTTCACGATATCTGTTCCGTTTTCTCTCTTACACCACCCAAATTTCACCGCTTATATGATTTGCTTTAGTATTCCATTTAAGTGTTTTCTGATGAATGTGGCAGGTTTGTTCTACCTACAATCCTTCTAGCTGTTTTCCCTGTGCTGTGGTAATTGGAAAGCTAAAAGTTCCATCTGGCAGGCTTCTTTGTAGTTGAGGCTCCAGATGTGATTCAGATTTGATGAACCAGATGCGCTGTCATGAGTTCTGGGAGGCAGAAGTGAGATGGAAATTTCACTTCTGCTGTTTCTTTTGGCAAGTGTGGTAGTGGTGTATGAATTTTCTGCAGCAGCTCAATGTCCAGTGACCAGCACCATGGGTGTCATGGAGAGGAATCCATTCTGCTGGTAGGGACCACAGCATGGTCCTGGGTCTGGACCTGGGCACAATAGCTCCGTTCATGGTGGCCTTTTCCCTCGGGTAGTTTCTTAATCATGGGTGGCAGTGTGGTTCAGGAGCCCGTGGCTTCCTGATTATAGAAGAGGTAG